GGATAGATAGATAGATAGATAGATAGATAGATAGATAGATAGACTGAGCTTCTTACAATTGAAAGTCGGATAAACCCGCGGTTATCTGTGGTATATTGAATCGGTGAGACGGTCGAGGGAGCTTCGATTCACTTCGCATTAATTCCCTCGCGAATCGATGTCTTTCTCCTACAAGATAATCGTTAAATATCTGGGCATTTTTGGTTCTATAATCCTGATTGGCCACTCGGCTCGAGATGAGACAAGTCAAATTTTGAATTCAGAAGCCTGGAAAGGGCAACAGGAAATAGCGATATTTCGTTAGAACAGCTATCATGACGAACAGTTTGATGATATTAAATAAAAGGAAGATGTGGAGTGCCGTGAATATGATGAACTGGATAGACAGGCTACTTTAAGTGATATCATACCTGTATAATTACTTACACACCTGTGAAAGTTTTGTATAGCTTTTATTGGTTAAACTTGAATCAGCATCTATAATCATCGTAATCATCGTCATTGGTCCCTTGATGGCTTCAATCCTCCCGGGGAGACCTAAGGGCAGAATAAACGGATTTATAGGCGGTGGCTTTCACGAGTCCCGGCATTGTCATGTACGTCCACTCTTTGATGTTGAGTCTTTGGTGTTGCCGTCGTCTTTTGTATCTACTTTATGCCGTGTGATGTCGTCAATCCATAACATCAAACGACGCTTAATTGTAGCGGGAAGAGATCTTTGTCAGCCCACAAGATTTTTGACCTTGCTCCGTACATAGTCATTGGTCCTGTGCTGGAGGACCGTGAGGAGCCCCACCCATCATTGCATCGCCTCCTCTGCATTTCTTACGTCAAGTTAAAGATGAGTTATCATAGATGAGTCAGACAGTTATGTGCTATGCGTGATACACCCTTAGGTGATCATGTATATTTCGATACATGACTGACGAGGCAGATTTTATCCCGCACTATTTCTTTCTGTGCTAGACTACTTGCTATCCAAGGCTAAAGAACCTGGTCTGACCTGCTATTTACCCATAGCTGCGGTTAGGAAGAAGAAGAAGATTCATGCCTTTCCCAAGGATATTAACACGTAAGTGAATATCAGTCAGTTATGTACCATTAGGCGATCATTGTATCTTTCAATACATGCCTGATGAGGCAGATCTTTTTCCCGCAGTAGGTTGCCATTTCTTTCTGCGGTAGACCAGTTGCCATCTAAGGCTAGAGAACCGAATCTGTCCTGCTATTTACCCATAGCTGGAGGTGAGAAGAAGAGGATTCATACCTTTTCCAAGGATATTAGCACGTAAGTCAATATCAGTCAGTTATGTATCATAAGGCGATCATGTATCTTTCGATACATGAATGACGAGGCGGATTTATCCAGGAGTAGGTTGCCATTTTTTCTGCGGATACCAGTTGCCATCTAAGGCTAGAGAACCTTGTCTGACCTGATATTTACCCTGGAGGGTAGGGAGAAGAAGAGGATTCATACCTTTCCCAAGGGCACTTGCATGTAAGTGAATTTAATGGATTTGTCTGGGATTTGAACTCGGCTCACCGATTCCTCAATCCAAGCCGCTAACCATTACTCCACCATGTCTCCTTCAAAGATGAGTAGTTGTCTAAATTTTCGCTCGCAAAATCCCAGATGCCTCACGATTAACTTATTGGTCATTCTAGAATAGGTTCTGAGTTCTACAGACACATACCGATGTCGAAGTGTCGAGAATTTGAGGTTTGGGTTGTCGTAAGAAAATGTTTAGCTTTTCATTCGCAAGTTTAACAAAAAATTACAGCAAAACAGGGAGAAAAAGAGAAGAATTTTAGTCCTTTTTTTTTCTGGTGTACGCACTTTAGTCACTTGAGCAGACTTCGCTTTATGTATGATTTGTTTGTGAATTTGGCAGCTGGTATCATCGAAAATATACGCTGTTTTTAGTGTTTGCAAAAAATATATATATATATATATATATATATATATATATATATATATATATATATATAAACTAGCGAAGAAAATTACATTAAAATTTACTGTTGCCATATATGGTCTGGTGACCCCGCTGTTCATCTCGAAGCCCTCGACAAAATCCAGAGACGGATATGCGATGTGATATATCCTGACCTCGAATCTCGTATAAAGTCACTTTCTCGCAGACGTGATGTGGCTTCCCTCTGTCTTTTTTTTCTACAAATATTTTCATGACAGCTGCTCTGACGAGCTACTTTCACTGGTACCTCAACTGCATGAATTTAAGCGTGCTAGTGGGTTGGCATGTCGGTCCCACCCTTTTAATGTTGAAACAATTAAATGTAACCGCCACTTCTACTCCAACAGCTTCTTCTCTAGCACTTCCCGACAGTGTAACTCCCTTACTCTTACTTGCTTCCCTGATAGACACAATCTTCAAATATTCAAATGTAATGTCAATCGACAACATCTGATGCCTTGATCATGATCCCCACCCTTCTCTATATCCTTTCCTCAAGCAACCGTCTTTACTTATGATTTCACTCACTCAAACCCCTTGCGTGCTACTGGCACTCATGTCTTGCTTGGGGTGAAATGCTTAAAAACAAAATAAAAAAACAATTCAAAGACTCATTTAACCAGAAAGACGTGCTATGCCATTTAGCTACAGCGAAAGTGTCAGGTTAGCAAAGTCCAAATTAACGTTTTAAAACATTAATTTGGACTTTGTTAACATGGCAAAAAATTTTGAGGATCATTCTCAAACGATCATATCTACTCACGAAACGTACCTTAACGTAAACATTGAAAACATATTATGAAACGGATTAAATCCGACAATTATTTAATATATTATTTTGTTTATACGTTATTTTATTAGATACAATTTATTTAAGTAAATTAAGTTTTTTTTATATAAACAGTATTAATTACCTTCACCGGCCTGAATATTCAAGACTATAATAAATACTATTCGAACTTAATCCAGCAGTCATTATCTTGATCCAGGGGAAAATTACCTCCTCAATGTATTGAGTGTGAGGCCCTGTGAGAAGATGAATGGTGGCAATAACGTCGCCATCACTAGTGATCACTCTAAACACCATGATGTTGACTGGATATCCATCTCTTTCTAAATCATCAGCCCTTTCCCCAGCAGACACCCAACCACTCTGAAATGTTTATATTGGGGTTTCCGGTGCGAATGCCAAGCAGTGCAGCTTGTTGCTTCCAAATTTCTGGAGAAGTAAATTACGTCATGGTGCTCTTTTTTTCTCCCGGACAGTGACCAATTGACCTTACTATACTGTGCAGTCGACAAAATCAAAACAAACAAACAGCATACGCGAAAATAAAAATATAAAATGGTTACAATTTACTCTTAAATGCAACCTATATATATATATATATATATATATATATATATATATATATATATATATATATATATATCATGAAACCTAAAGAGCCACTTACCAAGGTTTCACCCAAGCGGATCGTCAGGGATTGCTGACTATTTTATTTTATTTTACTTACTCGTATCGGTTTTTTTTTCTTTGGACTCTGAACTTTCATGCTAGACGATTGTCTTCGGCTGACGTACATGTTCTTTGTTTTTTTTGTTTTTTTGTTTTTTTTTGTACCTTTTTTTCCCTTTGGTATTGGTTTGTTTATTTACAAATCAAGGCATCTAAAGTTGTCCGGACGAGTAAGTTTTCTTATATTTATAAAATTATTACAATTATATATATATATATATATATATATATATATATATATATATATATATATATATATATATATATTAATCTTTTCACCCCGAGTAAGGTAATAAAATCAGGAGAACAGAAGAGGATATTGAATATTCGGGACAAACTACTCTTAGGGAGAGAGGACAATAAAAGGCCAAGATTTAAGAAGACGGGAGATAATGATTGAGATTGTATATAAATTTGGAAAGATTAAAATTGACTGGAAAGTAAGAAGCCAAAAGAGAGTTCCACAAGCGATTATGCCATCTCCCACAAGAGGGGACTCTTTATCTTCTGCGAGAGCTTACATGGTCGTAGTTCGCTGAAAATGAAAGAAAGAAAGAAAGAGAGAGAGAGAACGAACCCTGGGTCTTGTCAAGTATATATAGTAATTAGATATTTCCCTCAAGTGGCGGTGCCAGAATTTAGGAGGAGATAACTCCGACAACTTGAAATGGGGAATAAACTTATTTCAACCGACGAAAAAATAAAATTCGTCAGTCTTATCCAACCACGGTATAGACTGAGTTCGTGTCGGAATTAGAAATTTATCTGTGAAAGAAAAAAAAAAAAAAAAAAAAATAGTCGAATAACTAATACACAATTTACAGTTCAATATTTTGAGGCCAGCCGTGGTAATTTTTTTTAAAAATTGGGGTCAAAAGTAGTTGTTTTGTACTTTAAATAACAGAAAAAGTATTATAGATGGTTAAAAATAAAAGCGAGACATGGTATTTTATTAGCAATTTTATTATGACCAAATAAATAAAGCATTTTATGATTAAATTTTGCTCTCGTCAAAATATCCTCCTTTAGGCTTGATTACTGCAGCACGCATCTTTGCATTCGTCGCAAAAAGTTTCTCAAAGTATAAGTTTGATAATTGACTCCATTCTTTTTCTCAATGAATCTAAATTCGCTTTTTCATTTTTTATTTTTTTCATTCTTCTGTCAAGTTCAATACATGCTGATTCTGGGGTGACTTCAAACTTTTGGCGCCCGCTATTTATTTAGGAGTTAAAAGTTTTCTAAAAATAAAAGTGATGCCCAGGTCAACCAAGAATCATACAACACCCGCCTCTTATACTCCAGACAACATTATGCAGAATCCCACACATAGAAATTCACCATCGTTGATAATGGCTCTAGAACTAAACGAAAGCGCTCACGGCAATTAAAACGATGGAGAATTCTTATCTTCTTTAAGCCCTGAAGAACGAAAAAATGTTAGAATGCTGGAAAAAACTCAATAAAAGATTAATTAAATCTACCTTGTCGGCCATTTTCAATGAAAGATGCTTAAGAGAATTGTTGTTGTCCAAATACAGTATTGTATGTGAATTTAATATTTAACGAAAAACACTCCCTGCCACACACACACACACACACACACACACACACATATATATATATATATATATATATATATATATATATATATATAGTCGACTCTCCTGTCGAATTCGACGTATGAGGGTCAAGCAGATCAGTTCCCGGGAAACCGACAGCCTGACAACAGCACATAAGATTTGATTATAGTGGTGAATGTTTCGTGCAGGACCATCCACTTTTTTGAAGGGCAGAATACAGAAACCTGGTGCACTACTATATATATATATATATATATATATATATATATATATATATATATATATATATATAACGTTTCAGAAATTTGAAAGAGTGAGAGTCCTTCCTGCACATTTACAAATCTACCATTGGTCCATGCATTGAACATTGCTGCCATATCTGGTGAGGTGCTCCTCCTATTCATCTCGAGGTTCTTGACAAAATCCAAAGAATGGCCTGCAATGTAATCAATTCTGACTTGGTATCTCGATTTTCAGTCACCTTCTCACCGATGTGACGCGGCCTCCCTCTGTCTTTTCTACAAATATTTTCTTCGCGGGTGCCCCGACTACATGAAGTTAAGCTTGCTGCTAGATTAACATCTAGGTTCATCCCTTTTACAGTTGAATTAGGTGAATGTTGCCGCCACTTCTACTCCAATAGTTTCCTTTAATCGTACTTCCCGCCTGTGGAACTTTCTTCCGTTTATTTGCTTCAAAAATCTAAATGCAATGTCAGTCGCCATTTTCTATCTTCTTGAATCCCGTTCATCATTTGTCCTTTCCTCAATCCTCTATATTTTTCCATTTCTTTTATTTTCACACTCTGTAGAGGCGTTCCAATATCATTCCCACATTGTTGGGTTGAAATTATTAATATATATATATATATAGAGAGGATTGGTGTATACGGAATAGATTCCAAGAAGGAAAGAATACTATTCTTAAAAGAGTGCTCAATATAAGTATAATACAAATATAATTATTTATTCGAAAATTATAATATAACATAAATATGTTATAAAATCCCTATATTTATTGTTACAATTTTCGAATAAATAAATATATATATATATATATATATATATATATATATATATATATATATATATATATATATATATAATGTAATGTATGTATGTAATGTATGTATGTATAATGCGTATCTGGGCAGCAGTCTCTGTTTTATACAATTTTCTATAAGTACGAAAACATAATGTTTAAATTGATAAATGTCTGCCGGATTAATAAATAATCCATTCTGATATATATATATATATATATATATATATATATATATATATATATATATGTGTGTGTGTGTGTGTGTGTGTGTGTGTGAAAATATATAAAAATAAGAAAGAAACTCGTTAGGTAAATAATCCAAAGTTCTTTAGTATTCTTGTTATTATTTTAAAAAAAATAGTGCTCGATACAAAAGTAGAGCATAACTATAATTATTTATTTAAAAATATGATTCCAACATGATTTCAATAATGAATATGATTATAAAACGCGTAAACTTCAGAATTAAGTTATTCCAAAAAGAATTTCACTTGTAGATGGAACAGAGCTTAGTACTTTAATTCAATTTAATTCAAATAATTATACTGAAGTTTTCGGCTCTTGTTTTGAAACATGAGAACTCTTATGTAGCGTGTTGGAATCATATTTTTAAATAAATAATTATACATATATATACATATATATACATTTATATATATATATATGTGTGTGTGTGTGTGTGTGTGTGTGTATAGAGAGAGAGAGAGGGAGAGAGAGAAGAGGAGAAAGAGGAGGAGAATGGGAGAGAGAGACTGAGATAGATAATTTCTTTTTTGATCACCGAAGTAATCTGCAAGTCAATGTTGATTTCCCTCCCTACATAGTTTGCAAATATAGACGTTCTCTTATGATATTGTGCAGTCCTCACCAAATTTTTAAATAATACAAATTTATACATATTTATAATTGATATATATATATATATATATATATATATATATATATATATATATATATATATATATATATGGCGTATTATGAAAAAAGTGCCTCTACTTTTTAATCTGTTTTGACGAAAAAAAAAGTGAAATCAAAATATATTTCGCCAGAACGTCCTCAGATAATCTCGTGTGTACTTATATCAGGTTATATAAAAACATTTTCAAGAAACAATTGCGCCATTAAAGTCTTTTCACTTTTACTCACGTAAAAACAAATTGTATCGTAAAAAAATCGTACAACAGAATGAATTTAATATATATATATATATATATGTGTGTGTGTGTGTGTGTGTTTGCGTGTGCGTGTGTGTGTTTGTATGTGTGTGTGTGTTATATGAAATAAAAATAATCTTATAATTTAGTCGTCAATAATAAAACCTAGAATGATCAAATCTTCAAAAATAGGATTAATATTGTTTACAATTTGTCCTGCTCATATTGAGATTTTTTTTTATTATTATTAATAATAATAATACACTTTTAATAATAATAATAATAATAATAATAAGGACAACAACAACAACAAGAATAACTTATAAAATGCTCACAACGATAACTTTTTTCGTAGCTTCACTTGTCAGATAACCATGCAAATTACCACATGGCAACAATAATACCGAAGTTTAAATTAATACAGTCTTACTATGTAAAGCTTAAAGCAAGATAATATTAGGAATTTTATTAATCTAAATAAATGTATTAAAGTTCAAACTCTTTATACTGAACAAGTTAATTCCAAATACTGCGTCTCTTAATTAAATTTCATTCTAGAATTATTCTGTTCGACATTTTTTTTTCTCGTGAAATGCAATATTTCCTATTTGCCCGATAATAAACGGCGACTCGTCTGCTAATTCTTTTCGTCAATCTGTGTTGAAGAAAACTGCTCTGGCACATTTGTGCTTGTCCAACACCAATGGAGCCCACCTGTGGTTTAGAAAACGCAGAGCGAAGCTACATTACGGTGGTGGGAATGAGACTGAAGACAAGATGCTAGGTCAGGACCAATAGTATTTCAATTTTGTCTTTGGATTCTATCAAGGATCTCTAAATATATAGCCGGATCACCAGACCATAGGTGACAGCCATATTTGAAACCTTGACGAATGCTACAATTGTAAACATGTAAGATAGATTCTGGCGAGAAAGACTGTCTAGCGCGACGCAGTGAACTAACATGCCTAACAACAGACTTTTCAGTTGATTCAATATCATGTTTCTCACTTCCTGTCACCGTAAAAACCTTACCCCGAGAAGTCACAAGGAGTCACTGTCCTGGAGATTAGTATCAGCGATGCCGATGGAAAAAAGAAAACTTTCTCTCAGACAATTTAGAGGTCAAATTATCCATCGCATCCTCTAAGTGAATTGCGTCAGAGGTCTTTTAAAAAATTGACAGAAAAATATTCAAACATGACCCTATTATACGCCCCAGTCGGACAAAATCATAAACAAACAAATGCGCAGGCATGAAATTTAAACTATCATATGGTGACAATTTACTCATCGCACAGTGTGTGTGTATGTATATATATATATATAAACAAACACATATATTCTGCATCTAATTTGTTTGCTTAAAAAGGGATAAGCCTCCTCAAAACAAGTTATTATGAACATTGTTTTTCATAAAAATATCATTAATTTTTTAATAAGAATATAATCTTTAAAAAAATAAAAGAAATTATAACAAATTGACACAAAATAATGTTCATATATATATATATATATATATATAATAGTGCGGAATTGTTGTGTAAATCTTCAGAATATATATATATATATATAATATATATATATATATATATATATATATATATATATATATATATGGCATTTTTTGAAACATAAATATATTTTATATTGTTGAAGAAGACTTAAATAATAAAATTGAGATGAATAGATAAGAACAGGCAGATATATATATGTATATATATATATATATATATAACAAGATAGAAAGATAGATAGATAGATAGATAGATAGAATAGAAATGTTTACATATATAGAGAGATAGATAGATAGATATGAATAGAATGATACATATATATAGAGACAGATAGATAGATAGATACATATGAACAGACTGATATATATATGTATATATATATATATATATATATAGAGAGAGAGAGAGAGAGATATGTGGATAGATAGATATGAACAGACTGAGATAGATAGATAGATAGATAGATAGATAGATAGATGCGAAAAGGCTGATAGATATGAAAAAGTAGCTACATACATATTTACATATATACAGAGGCTGAGATAGCTAGCTACCTATATATACATACATATATGTGTGTGTCTATGTGTATGTGTATGTGTGTGTGCGTGGAAAGGCGTTTTGTTATTAAATTATTTAATGACAAACACTTCTATTGTATCCATATCTTCAAACAATATGTTTTTACTTAAGAAAGGGTCATGAAGTAAGATTTTGAAGATTAAACAAGTACAGACCCAAAAACATTTTTTTTTCTCCATTTGCTTTTCCTTTTCGTTCTTACTGGTAAAACTCTTTAAGCAATTCCGTTTCTGTTTTTTGTTTTGTTTTGTTTTGTTTTTGTTTTTTTATTTTTGTTTCTTTTTTTATTTTTTTATTTTTGTTTCTTTTCTTTTTTTGTTTTTTTTTTTTGTTAGGCACTGTTCTATGTTTCGGATTCTACAGAGCCATTCCACACGGTTCGAAGAAGAACCCCTCTATGACGTACAGGCTCTATTCCCTCGAAACACATTTTAACCATTGATATGAGAAAGTTGTTGTATACAACGCATCTTTTAGAGATTTTGGTACGAGCCTGGCACATATAAGAAAATCCTGCTCTCACTTTTAGTTTTAGGCTATTTTTAGTGGGTTTTGCAGAAACTTGGAGAAGGTGCCAAACGATTTCAAGAAAATAGCTCATTACATTTAGCAACCAATACTTACAGTAATTATATTCAAGCCTACTGTCCTCGTCTTAGTTGTTGCTATCACAACGTTTCGGCCGTTACGCCGGCTGGCCTTCATCAGGTGTATATTGATCTCGGTAACTGTTAGGGCCCAAAATAAAGACACAAATAGAGTTATTGAGTTAAACAACTATATTAACAGAAATAGTAATACAAACATATACAAACGGGAGTTTTACAGCATGAATTTTCAGTTCGATTGTCAGAGCTGACAGCTGGAAACTTCCCTCTCTCCAAAAAGCAGTACCTGCTGCTATTTATAGCTGTTAGGGTCAATGTGTGTGTGGGTAAAATACCTTTACAGTAAACTACAGAATAATCCTGAAACATTTATTTGATCTACGGTCTACACCTCGTTCCAATATTCATGTTTATGGATATTGTTTAGTTCGTGTTTTTTTATTTAGATCTGCTCAGTTATTGACAACAAAGATGATGACTATCGTCAGAATAGGAATCGTATTTTGATAACACCTCATCCCAGAAATTCAGACACAAATTTAATCAATATATATATAAAAAATATCTCGTAAAGTCAATCGACCGATGACGTTTGCCTGAAATTTTACCAAACAAAAACTTTTGGAGATTTCTTTGAAAGAAGATTCATTTTTCTTTGGAATAATATTCTAGAATGTGCTGAATCAGGGAAAGAACTCAATGAACAAAAAAAAAAATATATGCCAATATTTTATTCGGTATAAAGGATTTTTCTATATAATATATATTCTGTATTTAATTTGTTTGCTTAATAAGGCGTGAATCTCCTCAAATCAAGTTATTATAAATATTGTTTTTGATAAAAATATCATTTCTTTTTCATAAGAATATAATCTTTAAAATAAAAGATGTTATAAGATAATAAGAAATTCACATATAATGTTGTTCATATATATATATATATATATATATATATATATATATATATATATTATATATATATATATATATATATATATATATATATATATTGATAGATAGATATATACACATATATAGACATGTATATAGTCATATATGAATATATATATATATATATATATATATATATATATATATAAATTTCATTTTTCATATATTCTAATATATATTTTTTCTTTTTGGATGATAAATTATATAAAAACTGTCCGAATATTCCAGGAATATTTGAATGAGAACTAATTGTCAGAAAGGAGACCTACCGGACACTATTCGGAACATACTTATTGACAACACGAATATAATAGCATCATCTACATGCAAAAAAAAAAAAAAAACTAAAATAATGGAAGCCTTATTAATAAAAACAAACAAACCAACAGTTAATAATATTAACTTTGAACATGGACATAATATCTTGACCGTGTTTTGAAACAAAAAAATGAAAACATTTTATAAAGCATACATACAACAAACTATTTCTTATTTTAACAGTTAAAATATAATCCTTGAAAATGGCTAAATGTATAGCCGAAAACGCTCGGATAAAAAGAATATTCGGACAGTTTTTATATAATTTATCATCCGAAAAGAAAAAAAAATATTAGATCGCATGAGAAATTGAAACTAAATAAAAACACCTTGTCTGTCGTTTTCAATGAAATGTGCATGAAAGGAGAATTGATGCCTAAACAGACAAATATATATATATATATATATATATATATATATATATGACACACACACACACACACACACACACATATATATATATATATATATATATATATATATATATATACATGCGTGTTCTGAAAATTTTACGGACAAGGTTAATATCAATTATATCGTGAAAGTTTTCTTTGCATAACAAAATTGGAGATGAAAACATAAGAACAGACATAGATAGATAGATAGATAGATAGATATAGATAGATAGATAGATAGATAGATAGATAGATAGATACATACATACATACATACATACGAACAGACATATATAGATAGATAGATAGATAGATAGATAGATAGATAGATAGATAGATAGATAGATAGATGTGAAAATGCTGACTGATAGATATTAAAAAGTACATACATACATACATACATACATACATACAGAAAATAAAAAGCTGTTCGTGTCTGGTTGTGTTCAGTACCATGTGGAGAGTTGATTTAAAGGGAAATTACTGAGACTTCCGGAAGAGGAATGACACGTGGAAGTAGAACAAACAGGGGACAAAATAAAGAATTCGGTTCAAAATTTTAATCACCTGTAGAAACCGGAGCGTACAACGGCCGAAATAATTGTGAATAAGGTAATGGAGATGAAGATAACATTTCGAGTAATGCCATAAATATAAGTAATCATAATAACTCATCTCAGAGATATAGACTTATGAATTTATATATAAAAATCTAGCAAAACCACAAGGCACATGGCCTGACAATTTTGTTTAGCATGAAACAGACTGTCGCTTCTGGGTGGTGCTTCAGTGTCCAATTTATATTTACATACGTTCTGTATCTGTCTATATTTCTGAGATGAGGCATTATGTACACTATTTACATTATTCGGACTATTGTTCTCATCTTTGTCGCCATATTTATCACAACGTTTCGACCGTTGTAGCTCCAGCCCTCTTCAGGTGATTGGAATGACTCCCGAGTAAGGTTAATAAATAGAGGAGAACATAACTAAAGACTGTGTGTACGCTATCCCGTGCAGCTGCGGAAAGAAATATGAAGGGGAGACAGGCTGCCCCCTTAAGGTAAGGATTCAAGAACACCAGAAAGCTGTAACACGAGGGGAAGTCGAAAAATCAGGTGTGGCTGACCACATATGGAGAGAGAAGGGTGATCACCGCCCCCTGTGGGATCAGGTTGAGATCATAGACAAAGAACATCATTAGAAAATTCATAAACTTAAGGAATCAGCGCAGATGCTATGCCAAAAAAAAAAAATCTTCTGAGCCGACCAAGCATAGAAATGAATACAATATGGGAACCAGTAATAAGGAGTGCCAGAGAAGAGTGATAATAACATTACAATATGAGCTCTGGTAAAAAAATGTTTGCTGAAGACATTAGATTTATGACCCCCAGAAATTCATACACAGATGTCCTCAAGGACACATGGCACAGTGGATAAAGGCGTTAGTTAGACGGACAGGATGCAAAGAGTTCAATACCTGGTTAAAGCAGAGGAGAACGTAGATAGGGGAATTAACAGGAGATAACTTATAACTGACATCCATTAGACATGGCACGTACTACTAGAACACTGTATCCCAGCGAGTGAAATAAAGGGTTTAGTTCAACATTCTAATGACCTGAAGAAGGCCTGAGCGTACAAGGGCCGAAACGTTGTGATAAATATGGCGACAAAGATGAGGACAATAGTCCGAATAATGTAAATCGTGTACATAATATCTCATGTCAGAAATATAGACAGGTTAATTTGCAGTTTAGCATCCACGCTCAGTTTGCATTAAAAATTTACTGAATACTGACATTTAGGTGTAATCGTATATGCTAGTTTAGGTTTTGTTTTTTGATTATTTAGTCTTTCTTTATTTCCAGTAAACTTAGGTAGTGTTTGTTTGCTCATTGGCCCCTTTTATTTCTGTACTTATTTTTTCTTTAGTTTAATTCCCCTCCCGCGTTAGGTGGTCAGAGATGTCAGTTCTCTGGTGGATGCGGAGCGCTTTTCGTTTTTCGCCTGTGTGTTTTTCGTTTTTGTTGTCGTGTCTAAATGCGTGCGTGTCTGTGTGAGTGCTAGGGATGAATGAATGTTTTTTTTTTTTTTTTATATTTTTTTATAGTCCAGCATTGATTTCGTCCAGTTAACTGGTGTTTCTGCCACATTTAAGAATTGTGGGTTTTTTATTACTAAAATGATTTTGTTTAGTTTCTTGTAAATAGATTATATTCATATTGTACATATTCATTGGGGATTTTTTAGCTTGCTGTTTCATTCTCCCCGCCTCATCCACAGACGACGATTTGTACATATGGGGACTATTTAAGATTTTCATAGAGACAATGAGGTATTATGGTGAATGTAGTAAGAATGGTTAGTAAGTGTGTGTTGTTTTGGGTCAGTGTTTGCGCTTATCTAAGTTTTAAAATAAGTTTTGGGGATAAATTGCTCAGTATCAGAGATAGAGTTTATGTAAATATAAATATAAAAGTGAACATTGAAGTCAACACTCAGTGCCGACAGCCTGATTCTTTTTCATTATAAAAAAATATATATATATATATATATATATATATATATATATATATATATATATATATAAAGGTTAATTGACAGAGTTGAATCTAGCTAGGAATCAGTAGTATAAAAAAGTACCCAATACACGTGTGAAAAAATTAAATACATAAAAGTAAAAGTCAACATTTAAACCTTTCAATTCAGAAGTTCAATTGAATACGTTTTAAAAGGGACCTCACCGCCTCATCAGGCAATATTCAGAATTAAGGCCAAAATATTGGTTTTTAAAGTTATATATATATATATATATATATATATATATATATATATATATATATATATATGTTCAAGTAGTCTAAAGATCACGTGATCGTGAAACTTGGTTTAGGACAAGGGCTATACTTTCATAATAATTAACGTTGTCAAGCGAATTTTGCTCTGTCAAGAACGTATAGGATAAAAAAGCACTTTACTGAGTAGGTTGATATTAGCCTTTAAGACTTCTATTTTTGTATTATTACTGGCCTTTTTCGAGAATTTATCTGGTTTAAAGGTATTTAGGTCTTTTGTAAAATTTGAGCGTTCATTCCATCGACGGTTTTCTTTTACTTTAATACACACACACACACACACACACACACACACACACACACAAAATATATATATATATATATATATATATATATATATATATATATATGAATTAAGACAAAAGGAAAACTTTCCTCTGATTGACCTTATCAAAGCAAATGTAAGTATTTTTATTTTGCAACAAGTATTTACGAAGAAAAGGAAAATGACGTTAGATTTTCAGACATGATAAAATAAATTTATCTTTTTATAACACTCTGTAAGTCACTCCTCTCTCTCTCTCTCTCTCTCTCTCTATATATATATATATATATATATATATTTCTCTATGCATACATATGCATAGAAACCAACATACACACATATATATATGTTGATTTCTATGCATATGTATGCTTGGGAATTTTACACATCCATATATACATACTAATAAAATACTTTGCTTAGCAATATTTGACCTAACTCTTTTAGTAATACTTTTTGCGGAAAAATCTCTGTTCTGTGGAAGCCACTTTGACGTCGAAAAAGATGTTAATTCCTTTCATCTGCTTCGCACTGGTTTTCGACTTTTTTTCTTTTTATTGTAAAAAAGAAAAAGAAATTCTTTTCTCTTTTCTGTTTTGGCAATTCAAGTCTTTACTCATTATAGCCAAATAAAAAAAAAATTACATCCATTAAAATCATTCATTTGCCTTTTTGTATTTCGAAGTTACATTTTTTTCTTTACATTATTTTCTTAATATACGTTGTAAATTTATTTCATTTTTTTTTAAATTCACTTCACGATATTTACATAAACGTAATTTAATCTTTTTTTTTTTCGTACTATAGATGCCAAATTTATTTCTACGTATAATGATATTTTATTTATGTTGGGTTCTTGATGTAAATCGTTTGTGTTTTATTTATTTTATTTTATTTTTTACATTGCTTATGTTTTTAAACATAATTTTTTTTATTCATTCTCTCAAGCGCCATTTTCTTTTTTTGTCTTCATCTTCTCATGTTTGTAGACCAGCTTATCATAGTAAACTTTATTTTCAAAATGGCGCTGATTACGTAACCTTTAGTTGGTAGGAGAAGTAAAAAAATTAACAACATCTTTTGCTTCCGTTCCCAGGCAGCGAATTATTTACTTCTGTTTGTTTGTCTGTTTTCATTTTTATTTTACTCAATGAAATAAATTCTTAAAATAAAACAAGAATAATTATAAACATGAATAAAGTTATTAAAAAATTAATATATATATATATATATATATATATATATATATATATATATATATACAGAATCAACACAACATTTCGTGATTATTGGCCCAGGTGGAATTTTCACTAAAAACACCAGATTTCACCGAACTGACCTTTGAGTTGATTCTGATGGCAAAATGTCGTGAACTCCGGTCGAAAGAATGATATTTCGTTTATAAGAAACACAGAAACACGTAAGACCAGCAAAATCCGGATAAAAAATAATGAAGTTGAAAAATGGAAAAGTGAATAAAAAAATTAGACAGGAAAATAGTTTTAATGTTTTTAAGAATATATATATATATATATATATATATATATATATATATATATATATATATATATATATATATATATACGATAAATTTTTTAAATCAAACGTCTTTGTACACAAAGAAAACAATACAAAACTTTAACCTGATATTTTGAAAAAAAGAGAAAAATAAATTGAAATAATGAACTAAAGAGAAAGTGAGGCCAAAATATTTAACGTTGATGCTAATGAAAATAGTGCCAAGAGATTTCGTGTATATAAAGATGAGATTTAGATATATACGAAGGTGGACTGAAAAGTTCTGAGTTTAACTATGAAGAAGTGATGCCAGAGCTGTGAAATCTTGCTTGCATTAATTTGAACGGTTCTTTACAATAAATGCATTGTATCTTTCAAGGTACGAGGGTGAGATGAAATGTTCGTAGGCTGACTATGAAGGAGTGATGCTAGAACTGTGAAATCTTGAATGCATTAATTTCAACACATCATATTAATAGCATTATTGTTTCATTCGAGGTACGATGATCGGCTGAAAAGTTCGTAGGCTGACTATGACGAACTGATGCCAGAGCTGTGAAATCGCATAATTTAATTTCAACGCTTCTTATTAATAACGGTATTGTTTCTTTCTAGGTACGAGGGTGAGATGAAAAGTTCATAGGTTGATTATGAATAAGTGATGCTAGAACTGTGAAATGTTGCTTGCATTAATTTCAACTCTTCTTGAAAGTGAATTGTTTCTTTCCAGGAAACAGATATGGATCTTTTCAAAGAA